CTAGGATAGACATGATGAATAGCTAACTTTCTGCTCTAAGCTGCATATTTGTGCAGTCTTAACCTAAATTTGTAATAATGGCAGTGCAAATGAAAGAATGAAAGCCATGCAACAGACACTGATGAAAGGAAAACAAGCTCAAGATGATTGTACTGCTGTTGTGAAGAAGCTTAGGGCCATGCTCCACTTGACAGAGGAGCAGCTTCACGTTCTCAAGAAACAGACCTTGTTCTTAACACAATTGACAGCAAAAACACTGCCTAAAGGTCTTCATTGTCTTCCCTTGCGTCTTACAACTGAGTATCATAACATGAATTCTTCTGAGCAACAGTTCCCCAATCAAGAGAATTTAGAAGAACCCCAGTTGTTCCATTATGCTATATTTTCGGACAACATATTAGCAACAGCTGTTGTTGTGAACTCAACTGCTTCCAATGCTAAGGTAAATTCTTTACACTTTTAGAATGCCCTTGACAGTTTTTTTTGCTGCCAAGATTATTGAGAGAAATCGAAGAAATTTGATCTAACTGTAAGGTGGCGTAACTACACTTTATATGGTTTGAGTAATAAAAACTTTTCTGTTTCATTTTAGGCCTGAGTTTACAAATAATTCAAACAAAACATAAATAGACTAAATATCATTGAAGCCAATGTTACTAATATTTCCTACTGACACCAATTGTTTGTATTGACGTTATTTTAATGAATTTGTAGGACGCCTCAAAACATGTTTTCCACATTGTTACTGATAGACTCAATTACGCAGCGATGAGGATGTGGTTTTTGGTGAATCCACCAGGCAAGGCAACCATTCAAGTACAAAACATTGAAGACTTTACATGGTTGAATTCAAGTTACAGTCCTGTTCTTAAGCAGTTGGGTTCTCAATCCATGATTGATTATTACTTCAAGGCTCATCGAGCAACCTCTGATTCAAATCTGAAGTTTCGGAATCCGAAGTATTTATCTATTTTGAACCACCTCCGATTCTATCTGCCTGAGATCTTTCCGAAGCTCAACAAAGTGCTGTTTTTAGATGATGATATAGTTGTGCAGAAGGATCTGACTGATCTGTGGTCCATTGATTTGAAAGGCAATGTAAACGGTGCTGTAGAAACTTGTGGAGAAAGTTTTCACCGATTTGATCGATATCTCAACTTCTCACATCCTCTCATTGCAAAGAATTTTGATCCACATGCTTGTGGGTGGGCATATGGTATGAATATATTTGATTTAGTGGAATGGAAAAGGCAAAACATCACACAGGTGTACCACAACTGGCAGAATCTGGTATGTACACTTTGATCTACATTTCAGCGCGTATCCCATGTGATTGATAGCATTAATCATGCTATATTTGGAACAGATTTTATCTTTTAAATAAAGAATAATTGAGTTACTACTAACTAAGTCTTAGAAAATAAACTTTAAATCTAACTCAATCTTACAAATCAATTTATATACAATAATTTGATCATATCTCTAGTTAATACGAGATCTTGGCATGATAGGCTCATCAAACATTAATAGAATAGACTTTAGAATCAACTTACAAAGTAAATTTTAAGCTTAACTTAATCTTGCAAAATTAGTTTATGAGAAAAAGTTTTCATATATATATATACACACACACACTGTAATTTGGTCATATCTATGTGAGATCTCTAACACTAAGATCTAGCTGATATGCCTAATCATTTTGGCAATTAATCTTAATAGTCCTAAGGTGGGAGTTGAGATTTTGTGTGCTTTGACTGGTTCATTGTTATGTTGCAAACTGTCAACTTAAAATGCTGGAAATAGAAATATTCTGATCTGTATTTGGGTTTTGAAAAGTGTGAATATTATTTCAGTAGCCATCCATTCAATTTGCATTTACATCCCGGTTCTAGTCCATGTTTTGTGTTTCTTCCTAATTTAAATTTGAACTGATTTTTCTTTTCTAATTAAACTGAATTACAGAATCGTGATAGACAGCTATGGAAGTTAGGAACGCTGCCACCCGGTCTCATAACCTTCTGGAAACGTACTTTCCCGCTGAACCGATCTTGGCATGTCTTAGGACTTGGCTACAACCCCAACGTTGACCATAAAGATATCGAGCAGTCTGCTGTTGTACACTATAATGGGAACATGAAACCATGGCTTGAGATAAGTATTCCTAAGTTTCGAAGTTATTGGACAAAGTATGTGGACTACAATCATCTCTATTTGCGAGAATGCAACATCAATCCATAGATAGGTCTTTTAGTTGCCTGACCATTAAAGTTTTCTCAGCATTAGCTATGTTGCAGTGCATCTTTTAGGTCTGCAATTCCATCTGTGTAGAGCTCCTATTTTTTAAAGCTTTACAATTCTTTCTGTATACGTGTTCCCATTTTACATTCTTATTTTTTGAACTTGCAAAAACCTGCAGACAATGCTAACTGTACTGCACTTGTAAATGAAATGAATGAAGAGGCTAGTTCTTTTTGTTTTCTGTTGTGTGCTTCCTTTTTCAAAACTTCCTGTCGTGTTGGTAGTCTTCTTTTTTTCTAGTACATTTTCCTTTAATTTTGGCAGTGTATACCCTGTTCATCCTTCAGTAGTTTCTACAACACAATCTTTGTCAAGTGAAGTTTTTGAGCAGTTTGATTTAAGAAATCGTTGTTTATACTTATTTCAAAGATGATCAAAAACGGTGTATCATTTTTGGCACTTAAAAAAAAAAAAGTTGTTGGATATAATCATAAGACTAAGACTCGGCTCCACCGACAATATGTTTGGTGGGTTTGGTAGTGCCTCTTCACTTTTTCAGTATCAGGTTTCTGAGTTTTATCTCTTTAGGTTGCAAGTAGAGAGTGTGGTAGCAATGTTGTTGCCATAGAGGGAAGAAGTAGACGTAGGGTAGAAGAGAAAATAAATATATGGTCACTTAATTATGAATATAAAGATGGAAGTAGGTTTGAGTGAAGAATGCATGAAAATAACGTTAATGTGCATAACAGCAAAATGTATGGTGGCAGGGCCCCATTTTGATATCTGTCACCCAATAGGACATGCAAAGAAATGATGATAAATCAGCATCATCACAACTTGTATTTTTTGTTATCACGTGGTGGTGGAACCCACTGTTTATTTTATGCAGGGTGGTTTCTCACTGACTGTGATCACGTGCACAAACCTATGATCATGAGTCAGTGTTTCTTCAGAAAATGATAGTGTGAATGAGAGTCACCATAGCCCAAAATTGAACAGAAGTGTGTAGTATGTAGAACACTGATTAGGAAAGAAATAGACTAGAGAACAGTGTTGAAAGAGACTTTAGAGCAAAAATATTGGCTTTTCTTGAGTCTGGAAATCTCTGTTAACTGAGAAAGTTAAAGTTTTGTTGATTTTTTATTTGCATTTGAATTGAGTTAACTGAGAAAGTTAAAGTTCATATTTTGTTGTTCCTGAAAAGGAGTGAGGATAGAGCTTGATCTATATAACATTTTTATGATCAATTGATCATAGTAATAGTAGTAAGAGGAAAAAGTGTAAATTATAAAAAAAATTAACAAGTTTTAAAAAATAGATTGTAATAATGATGATTAATCCAGAATATAAAAAATTGTGTGACTTAATTGATAATATGACATTTTAGTATCAGAATATTTCTTTCAAGAAGCACTTAAATTTAAAAACTTAATTGATATCTTAAAATATTTACTATTAAAATTAAATTGAAAATGTTTCATTATCTAAATTATTCCATTTGTCCCTCTTTTCAACATCCATCGGCATATATTGATTTTATGTGGGTGTGACTTGGATGTAACATTTCTGAATGTTACGTTCAAAAATTGCTTAATAGAGAGACACTTCTGAATTAGATTTTGCTTACACGTCTACACAACTATAGGAAACAATAAATCTTATACTAATAGAAGACTTCTTCCCAATAAATATATTTTATTTTCTTAATTTAAAAATTCAAGTATTAATTGACTTTTTCTGTTATTAAAATTTTAAATACCCTCTTGTTTTGGCTTTAAAAGAATCTGCTAAAATGTGTAATGATACTTCATTTACAAAATAATAATCACACGAAAACAAATAAAGTGGCTTTTTCATGTTATACATATTGAGAAAAGTTATTATTATTATTTATTTCTGACGATATTATTAATAGAAATAGCAATTAATTTTTTTTATACAATTGTATTTTTATTTTAGTTAAAAAAATTGTTCGAAAATATTAACCTAAGTAGATTTCTTTAAATTCTCACATTGTGTTTGGGAAGTGAATTTAAAAAAATAGAAAAAACAAAAAAAAATGAATGAAAAGAAAACAGAAAGTGAAATTTGGATTAAGAAAAAATAGTATGGAATAAATATGGAAATCAGATAAAATATTATAATTGATTTGATTAATGTAATATATTAAAGTCTTTTGATCTATGAAGTTATAAATTTAAATTTGAGAAGATAGATTAAATTTAAATTAAATGGAAATGAAAAACAGAAGAAAAAGTTTGAGAAAACAAATTTGTAATTTGTTTTATTCCTTTCAAATAAAAATTGAAGAAAAGAGTTAGATAATGCAGTTTCTGTGAGAGTGAGATAATAAGAAACACCATTAAAAAGTGAATCTCAAGCCATGTCCAATAATGCAATAACGGGTCTAGGATATTTCAACCTTTGTATTATTACATCGTAAAAATAACAATAATTGGTTTGAGGTTGCTTCTTTATCTTATTGGTTGCATGAGCTTGTCCCATATGAACACATTTATCAGCCCAAATATTTAACATGCATAAAAAAAGTTATATGTAAACACCTTTCTCTTTTCATTCCCAACCATCATCATTTCAAACAGATTTCGCAAATTTATTTTTTCTTGTTGTAATAATTATAATTATAATATTAAAAAATAAATATAAAAATGGAATACTATGATATGTGACATGTATGATGAGAAGAAAGGATAAGGAATAAAACTATGAAAAGATTTTTTTTTTTTCTAACTTATTTCTTCGTTTTCATTTTGTTATCTCTTTAGTTTATACCAAACTTACTATTACAAAACAATTTTGATTCTAAACTAGATACTTTTTTATGCCAGTTTTTACGATTCTAAACATATATACTAAATGATAAGAATCTACGTTTAAATCCAGTACTGATGATGAACATGTGTGTCTGTCAACACGGACGGAGAACTTGTCGGCCTAGTTATCGTTTACTGAGGCATTTCACAGCATCATTTTCCAGTTACCGAGAAAAGGGTCTGCGTAAAATTTTCAATGGGGCTGAGATTTCAAACCCCGGAACCCTTTTAATACCCAATAATTTGAGCTTAGCGCCGAGGTCTACGGATGATGCACTCCACAGACTCAATGCGGAGATAACGATCTTGGGTCGCCAGGGCAAGCTCGAAGAAGCAAAGAAGTTGTTCGACGAAATGCGCCAACGAGATGATGTTTCCTACAATTCGATGATTACCGTTTATTTGAAGAACAAGGACCTACTTGGAGCCGAAACAGTGTTCAGAGCAATGCCACAAAAAAATGTTGTTGCAGAATCTGCAATGATTGATGGGTATGCTAAAGTTGGTCGCTTGGATGAAGCTCGTAAGGTGTTCGATAGTATGAGTCATAGGAATGCATTCTCTTGGACTAGTTTGATTTCTGGGTATTTTAGTTATGGAAAAATTGACGAGGCTTTGGACTTGTTTGATCAAATGCCTGAGAGAAACGTTGTGTCCTGGACTGCGGTGGTTTCAGGTTTTTCTCGCAATGGGTTGATGGGTCATGCTCGAAAGTATTTTGATCGCATGCCTGAAAAGAATATCATAGCTTGGACAGCGATGGTCAAGGCATATCTTGACAATGACTGCTTCGATGAGGCTTATAAGCTCTTCCTTGAAATGCCTGAAAGGAATGTTCGCTCTTGGAACATCATGATCTCAGGTTGTTTGAGGGTCAATAGAGTGAATGAGGCCATAAGTTTGTTTGAATCAATGCCGGATAGGAATCATGTTTCGTGGACGGCTATGGTTTCGGGTTTGGCACAAAACAAGATGATTGGGATTGCTAGGAAGTATTTTGATCTCATGCCTCATAAAGATATGGCTGCATGGACTGCAATGATCAGTGCATGTGTTGATGAGGGTCACATGGACGAAGCTCGCTTGATTTTCAACCTGGTGCCGGAGAAGAAAGTTGGGAGTTGGAACACAATGATCGGTGGCTACGCAAGGAATGGTGATATAGCAGAAGCCTTATGTCTGTTTGTTTTGATGTTAAGATCTTGCGTTAGACCCAATGAAACCACTATGACTAGCGTATTAACTTCCTGTGATGGCATGGTGGAACTCATACAAGCTCATGCAATGGTCATACGGCTCGGGTTTGAGCCCAACACATGGCTTACAAATGCACTTATTACGTTGTACTCCAAAAGTGGAGATCTTTGTTCAGCTAGGCTTGTTTTTGAGCTACTAAAGTCAAAAGATGTAGTGTCATGGACTGCCATGATAGTATCTTATTCAAATCATGGACATGGTCACCATGCCTTGCAGGTATTCGCAAGCATGCTAGTATCAGGAATTAAGCCAGATGAGGTCACCTTTGTGGGACTCTTGTCAGCTTGTAGCCATGCTGGTCTTGTTAACCAAGGTAGAAGACTGTTTGACTCAATCAAGGGTACTTATAATTTAAATCCTAAGGCGGAGCACTATTCCTGCCTTGTAGACATTCTAAGTAGAGCAGGACTTATGGATGAGGCAATGGATGTAGTGTCCACTATTCCTCCTTCCGAGAGAGATGAAGCTGTTCTTATGGCTTTGCTTGGTGCGTGTAGGCTTCATGGGGATGTTGTAATGGCAAATTCCGTTGGTGAGAAACTATTAGAGCTAGAGCCATCTAGTTCAGGGGGGTATGTACTACTAGCACATACATATGCTGCAGAGGGTCAATGGGATGAATTTGCACAAGTTAGGAAAAGAATGAAAGAGAGATATCTAAAGAAAAATCCAGGATATAGTCAAATACAGATAAAAGGGAAAAATCATGTATTTGTTGTTGGGGAAAGATCTCATCCCCAGATTGAGGAAATTTACAGATTGTTACAACAGAATCTTCAACCTTTGATGACGGAAATGGGTTCTACACCAGAGAACATGTTGCTAGTAGATTAGTTCTCAAGCAATTAAGTACTAACCCAAGTTACATCTAACATAAAAAATGTACACTTTATAGTGTTATTATGAACGCCACTGATTAGTTCTTTTAAACTTGGTGAGCTATTTAGCATGATATAAATGATTGAGTGTTGGAAACTTTATGAGAACCGCAAAATTTGTGAGAATACAAAGTTGACACACAACAGTTAAGTTAAGGTGTTTTATGTTATTGCATAGGAACATAACTATATAGTGAACTGAAAAGGTAAAAAGTGAAATTGTTGCTAACCGTTCAGTTCCAAAGTCCAAATCAAATTCAAATGAGCTAATGATTTGCCCTTCTGTTCTAATCATGGGATTTCTAAAAGCTGTGGATATAACTTTCTTTTTCTTTATGCAGTGGTACAGGTAGGAACGAAAAGATTCAGAAGTGACCTTGAAATCCAGTTGCATTATGATTAATGGACTATGAAAAGTGAGGGGCGTCAAACAATTAGAAAATGACAAACCTCGGCCTCTTGTGAGTTAAGTCTTGTGACCTGACCTATTAACAACCACCGGGAAATATGGTGCATGTATTAAGGAAAAACTATTCATGACTAAGAAAGAAGATACGGACACAGACGGCAACATCTTGAAATAAGATTAAAACATATGCTCAAACTGCACAATAAACAGTTTAATAATACTAATTATTACATGAGCCTTATGACATGGTTTTTTTTTTAATCATCTAACGTGAGTCTTAGCTTCTTCTGTGAGATTCTGAAGTTTGCTAACGAGTTTAAGTCTCTTCTGGTTCGTTAGTCATATTTAAAACCCAGAACTCTTTTATGGAGAATTTTTTTATCAGAACCCAACACTGAATTCTTCTTATAAACTCAACACGTATAGTCAATTGGATTACGTCCACCGTATACTTAGGACAACAATTTGACAATAAAAGCTTATTGAAACAAGTTAAAAATTATTTCAAAAGGTTGAATTAAGTTCCAAATAAGTTGATGTTCCAATGATCCAAGTTCAACTCCCTTGTACTTTGACCAGGTCAAACTGAACTATTTGAACAAGCAATCAGACATATTTGTTCTTTGTAGGCTAGCAAGCAGCAAGTTTTTGCAAACACAAGGAAACTTTCCCCTTTACCTTCTTTTGAGAGGCAAGAGAGGATCACCAATAGCTTTCCCATGTCATTCACAAAAAGAGATTCCCTAAGTTCTCAGTACTGTCATTATTTTCCTTTGGTGCATCCATCGTTTTCTGGCTCTATTATAACCACTTGCTTTCAAGACAAACTATCCAATTTTGATACACTTCTCATACCCCACAATTATGAATAAACCTGAATCTGCATTAAAATTAGCACATTCAAGTTTAGTGATTGATTACCTCGACAACTCAATACAAGCTCGTACCTATTAAATTTGAATTATTGGTTTTTTGTCATTTGTCTTCTTGTTATATGTCTTGCCTGAAGCATGTGAGAAGGAGCATCATCACTACCTAACCATTCCAAATAACTTATGGACACAAAAGAAAAAGATAATATTTGTACTTGGACACAAACTTGCTCTGCTAATACGTTTGTACTCGTAATAATAATTTCAGTACACGTTTGATTTCTTAGCTGATTGCTTAGATTGTTGTCTAGTGCATTAGTTAACTCAAAAAATCCATCCTGGTGAGCATGATCCAAAGTTCAAACCGTGACAGATTTAGTTTAAGATGTTATAATATAACTGCTATAGTATAATCTACATTCATATAGGTTAACTTTTTTCTCATCTTATAACACTCTGCATTATCTAAAGTTAGTTTAGAACCTCTAATGCAAACTTTATCACTTTAAAAGTTGAAATGAAGATTCTGAACAAAGATTGAAAAAGGATTGGTATGATTCAAAATACTGTTTTCTCTGCTGAAGTCCAAAAATTGATAGCACAGGATTCAAATGCATCTCTCCATGCCCTTAAAAGTTGAAGAAAGAAAAAAAAGAAGAAAACCTTTAAAGTGAGAGGTTTGTTCATAATTACTCACTACTACTAACAAATTCATTTACTTTAAAATGGACTAAATTATATAAAAGGAAGAGGAGGGAGACATATGTAATTTAAACATCTCTCAAGGAGTGGTAAAATATTACTTTATTTAGGATTCTTATGTTTTGATTTTATTTTATTTTTTTTCTACCGATATAGATACTTTATGGTATGTATCTGATCTGAAACAGTAACCTAATATGTAGGTAATATTTTGGGACCCTCTTGGTGGATTTTTGGGAGAAAAGAAAAGAGAATTGGGAAGGGAAAAAAAGGGAAAAGGAGGAAAGAGGCATTTGATTGTCACCTAGGGCAGTAGTTCAAAGAAGACCTATTATTCTAACGCGGTTTAATCATCAATGGGACAACTCATCCTTTTTCTGATCAAAGGGAATGGAAAGAAACTAAGCAACAGCAAGCATGCAAAAGCACAAATCAAACTACACCACAGAATAACCCCTTTTGAGTCCCCTTCTCTCTTTTTTTTCTTTCACAGTATGCTTTATTATGATCAAATAAATTTCACTTTACCCTTTTTTTTTTCACTTGGCTATTCAAATAAGAAAATTCACAACTAGCTTAACCATATCAGTTAATCCTATGACTTACAGTCTGGATATTTTTACTTAATTACAATTTTCCCCAGAAGAAAAAAATTAAAACTTTATTTAACTAAGTACGTCAAATTAAATTATGATTAGATAAAAAACATACCATGCCAGTCACCCACTAGAAATTCTAGTGGGTCTTTCAATATGGATTTGTATTAAGATGACTTTTGTTTAGATAATAGGTGTTAAAATTACTAGAATTGAATTAAAAATATACATGAATCAAATAACTTGACTGAACTATGCATTAATAGTTTCAATGAGAGTAAGTCTAAAATTAAAAATTATATTTTCAACTCAATGCTGGACATAATAATAAATAAAAATCATATCCGATGAATCTAAATAATACTATAAAGTGAATCTTAAGTACCCTTAATCCAAATAATTCCACCAACAAAGAAAGAAGCAATTAGGTGTCTAACCTAAAAAGCTAAACAATAAATATGCAAGAGCTATAAAAGAAGAAGAATATAGAAAAAGGAAAAAAGAGAGATATGTTGTGTAGCTCATGTAAGTATATGAAGAAGACAAGTGGAATACAACCAATGCAAGAAAAGCATTTTGGAGCCAACCCATTAGTCTCTCTTGCTTTGACCACCTTTGCATTGCAAATAAATGGCCATTTTTTTATTTACATTAAAAGAAAAAGAAGAAGAAGAAGGAGAAAAAGCCAAAGAATGGAATTATGGAAGCTCTTATGGATCAATGCCATGAACCTTTTAAATTCAAATAAAACGGTCATTTTCCCCACCTCTTGGAACCCTTTTGACCCTTCTCTTTTTCTCTCTCATTTCTTTTTTATATATTTTCCCCAATTTTCTCCCTCTCCATGGCTTTGCTTTTCAATCCTGCCAGCAAATCAGATCTCTGTTTTGACTCTTGTGAGGCAGTTCACGAGTTTAATTTTTTTTTTTCTGAAACAAGTTGGTACCAAAGTGATTCTAAGTTGTAGCTAACGCATGCTGAAAAATGGTACCAATATTAAAGATTGGACATTGCTGCTGCTACCATGTTTAAAAGGGAAAAAGAAGAATAAGAAAAAAAAAATGTGTCCCTGTGCTATAAACTGGTGGACCCAATTCCCTGTGTGGAATGTGGGGTGAACTGCTTTAAATCTAATGGAAACTTGTCATGATTGAAGTCATCCCATAAATTGTCATTATGTTTCACAAGCTCTAGATTTAGGTCCATAAAAATGTGTTTTTTTTTCCTCAAAAAGTGCATAAACTTGATGCATACATAGAATTTTCAAAACCAAAGTATTTTTTGAATAAACATTGCAAAAAAAAAAAAAAAAAGTGGAAGAAAAAATGGATGAAAATATAAGCGTGGTCCAAGTGGAGGGATCTCACTATTGCTGTAAACAACTTGTATTGGTCAATTAGGTTTTTAGTGGGATGGCCCCATAATATCATTGTTTTTGTAAAGGGCCAAATTGGTCCTTTTCCTTCCTCCTCATTTCATGCTATTCCATCAATTTCAACACCCTTTTTTTCTGTTTACTAAAATATCGTTTTAGATGCAAGTAACATTGATGCTTGATGCTACAAATTGTAGACTAATTAACTAAAATTTGCTTTGGTCAGTTTCCCATGAAAAAAGGTAACCCATAGGATCTAAATCTATGACTTGAAGTAGAAACTGTCAAGCCAAACTTCAATTTTCCTTTCAAAGCAATCAAATTACAATCTTTGACAAGAATACTGTTGTTTCCCCAAAATAGCAAATATGGTTCTCACACTCTTTTTCAATAACTATCAAATAACATTTTTTAGCATTTTAAATCATTTAAAATCACCCACACTTTCATAAACACATATCAAATATTCAACTTTATACAATTTTTTTTCTCCATTCAAAAAGGTGTTCAACGCCTAACATTTTTTTCAGTCTGGTTCAACTGATTTAAATTTGTACATACCTAAATGTATGCCAGACTCTTTTTATTTATGAATATTTGGATTTAAACCTTTAAAAGATATCAACTTTGAGTAATCTGAATGAAAAAATATCCAATATTCCACATAAATATAGTTAATTGGACAGATCCTCCGGTAAAAGTTAATTTTCAACAGATTTAATATATATAAATAAAAAATACCATTACAGCATTGTCCCTTACACGCAAAATTCAAAAAAAAAAAAACAAAAAAAAAACTAATCTTTATGGATCAAAGCAAAAAAATGGGAATTAGGGTGGCTTGTTGGTTTGAAGTTGAAGAGAGTGTAAGAAGGTAAAAACAAAAAGGGGTTTTTTTTTTATTGGTAAATGTGAGTGAGCATAGGCAAATATAATAATGATGTAGGGGTGGCAGTGCTTAGAAGCGGTTGTGAAATGTAATGTACTTATGTTATATAAGCGTGTGTGTGGTGCTGATGAAGAAAGAACACAACAATAATAATAGTGACTTACAAAAGTAACAGCAGCGACGGCAACAGAAGCTGCTCATTGCTGAATTTTGCAGAGCTCCTTGTCTCTTTTCTTTTCTCTCTCTTTCTCTCTCTCATCTGTTCCTCTGCATCAGTTGTGGCCTCATCAGAGACACAAACACAAAAAAGCTTCAGAGGGTAACCCTCTAACACTCTAAGCTTTGACACAAACAACTGAGATAGTGAAAAGAAAGGAGAGAATGGGAGAAGGAGGAGGGGGAAGAAGAGGGACTTCAAAGCTGAAAGAAGCAGCAAGGAAGGTGGCTGTGGCAGCAGCATATGCATGTGGCTCATTCTCGAGGAGAAAGGCTTTGGTGGATCCAGTATCCATTGACACGTCTTGTAGTCTATCTGCCACTGTAAACTCCCACTTTCCCTTTTCTCAACACTCTGCATTTCTTTCTTCTTTGGGTGTTTGCATTTTGGGGAAAGATTCAAACTTTATCTGCATTTTGGGATGGACTGCAATTTTACTAAATTGGTGTTCAATTGGATGGCCCTCTTCATCCATCGTCGGTTTTGGGCTGTGAAATCATGGATTTGGGAATGCCCTTTCCTACTTGATTTTTGGGATTTCCCTTTTGTTTTTCTCTGATAATGCCTTTTGATTATAGTGATTAAGGTGGTTTGACATGGATTGTTTATGAATTTGTCGTGGTTATTAATGTCATTATTGTTGTTTGTTTGCAGACCTCAATTTCTTCATTTTTGTCTCCATCAAGAACAAAAAATTCCCCAGGGGAGGTAATGGAGGAAACAGATTCTGGTATCATTACCAACATCAACAATGAGCTTCATGGCAAGGTAATCCACTTTCAGTTCCTTAAACCACCACAAGACTTTTCATTTTATTTGGTTGGCAAATTAATAATCATTAACATTGTTGATTCTACCGAGGTAACGTAACTTGGAGATTTAATAATACTTTTAATGAATTAATGAATTAATAGGTTTAGGATTAAAGTAACTCTTCAACTTCTAGCTACTAGACATTTTGGTACTCAATTCTTTCATGCGTTTTCTATCTGCGCATTCGGTCTATTATTGCTTTGAAACACTTCGGAATCCAATGAACCTAAAAGTTTGACCTTGTGGAACATTTTTTCTTTTTTTCTTTTCTTGCTTTTTTGTAATTGATTCTTAATTCTTCTTTTTAACTACCCTTTTGCTTTATTATTTGTCTCGTGCTGTGATTTGGCCGAATGGCTTTAAAGCATTTATTTTGGTACTGAAATATATATAGAACACCGAAGGTGGTTAATAGAAGATACTGGCATGTGAATACCTGCACATGGCACATTAGTGAAGCCAAGAATCAATTCATTAAATGCTGACCCCACGTTGGGAAGTTTCACCTGCCACTACATGCATGATCATGCTTTTCCTTCTATTGTCGTGAAAACCTCTCTGGATATTATATATGCTATACACATGTCTTTCATCCAATAGCTTCATAATGAAGGGAATGAACTTTTGTTAAGAACACAATCCATTGTCACTTTGAGTTTGGAATCTCGTTTTTAATTTACCGCAACTTTCTCTGTGTACTTTAATCCAATGGTAAAAAGTGATTAGTTGATTAAATCATGTAATTTTGTATGAATGTTGGCATGAAAACCACTAGAGTGATTCGATTTGCCATATAGTATGTATTTTCTTCAATCTTCATCTGGTTTTATCACAACTTTGTCTGTATGCCACTTTCTTTTCATTAAAAATGCCTCTTCGGAAAAGTTACTAATTGCTCAATACTATTATTATTTTGGAAAGACTTTAATTCTGATTCATTATCGCTATAAAGACTTTTATACATCCACAGATTAGAAATCATGCAAGATAAGACTTCTTAAACAATTATTACAGAAGTCAGCAATATCGTCATAAATGCAATCCATATTTTACACTATCATCACAATCTAGTTAATTCCTTCTCAAAATGAGTAGAGTGTGATATCACTTTGAATATATGGGTGTTTTTCTTTTATTTTCTTCTTCTGTCATGGTACTGTTAGCTTTGAAAATATTGGAGCTATGCATGTTATGTACATACATCTATGCTACTAGAAGCTTCAAACTAACAAGCAAGCACAGCAGAACATTCATTTTCTTGGTTCGTTTGTTCCTGAATCAAATTTCACTGTCTGTCTTTCTGGTCAATTTGTAACAAACATCATTCTTGGTCGAAACTATGAATGTATTATTGTATTTCTTCCTTACTATTCATGAATGCATGCTTGTTCCTTGACAGAGTGTTCGTTTGACTCACCTCCTTCGTTTTGTTTGTCTGCAGAATTTGTGTGCAATATGTTTAGATCCTCTTAGTTACCACAGCAAGGGAAGCAGTCCTGGTCAAGCTATATTCACTGCTCAGTGCTCTCATGCATTCCATTTTGCCTGCATCTCTTCCAATGTCCGCCATGGAAGTGTCACTTGCCCCATTTGCCGTGCCCATTGGACTCAGCTCCCGCGCAACCTAAACAACAACCTTAGTGGGCCTTTCACTTCTTCCAACCAAAGTGATCCCATTCTTCGAATCCTTGATGATTCCATTGCTACCTTCCGTGTTCATCGCCGATCTCTTCTACGCTCCGCACGCTATGATGATGATGATCCTGTTGAACCCGATGACGCACCTGACAGTCCCAAGCTGAGTTTCTCTCTTGTGCCTATTCCACCAAATGCACCAACCAGTTATCATCCAGCTTTGCAAGTGACCAAACATGCCTCATGTCCTTGCCATTTATCACTCCACCCTTTAACTTGCAGCTCCTCATCACATGTACAATCTCCACCAATGCAAACACCTTATATCATGTGCCCTTCCTCAAATAGAGCCTATCTCTCTGTGAAACTCACCCACGAACGAGCCACTGACTTGGTCTTGGTGGCTAGTCCAAATGGACCACACCTAAGACTTCTCAAACAAGCAATGGCTCTTGTGGTTTTCTCCCTGAGACAGATAGACAGGTTGGCCATTGTTACATATTCCTCAGCTGCGGCTCGTGTGTTCCCCTTAAGACGCATGACATCCTATGGAAAGCGCACAGCCCTTCAAGTGATTGACCGGTTGTTTTACATGGGGCAAGCTGATCCAGTTGAAGGGTTGAAGAAAGGGATAAAGATACTTGAAGACCGTGTGCACAAGAACCCCGAATCATGCATCCTGCACTTATCAGATAATCCTACTAGACCATACCATGCTGTGAGCATGGAACTACCATCTACTCCAATTCATAGATTTCATGTGGGATTTGGCTTTGGCACTTCTAGTGGATTTGTCATACAAGAGTTTGAGGAGTTCTTGGCCAAGATGCTGGGAGGCATTGTGCGAGAAATCCAGCTGAGAATATGTGGGGCTGGAGAGGAAGTTGGCAGTGGCAGAGTCATAAGGATTGGAGAGATAAGAGGTGGAGAAGAAAGAAGGATTCTGTTAGACCTTGGTGACTGCACTCATGTGTATGTGGAATATAGCTACATTGAAGGTGAAATTGATGAGTGTGTTAGAAGGACAGGGGAAACTGTTGTAGGTGTTGGAGAACATAAAGGTGATGCTTCAGAAGATGGTGAAGAAACAGTGAGGGATATGAACACAGGTGGTGGTGGTGGCAGGACTAGCAGTGTTGAAAGTTGGGATTTTCATGATCCTTACATGGCTAGAAGATGGGCCAAGCATTTGCATGGTTATAGACTTTGATATTACAACTATTGTTTTATGTAGACCAATGCATTTCTTGAGGCTATTTTTTTCTAGGCCATCCCTCCTGTCTTCGATATCTATAGCTAGAACTGTAATCTTATAGAACTTGAAAAGATTATACAAAACATTATTTCTTCACACAACCAACAAAACAAAGATAAGAAAGACAAAACACTGCATATGTGTGATGTTTATTTAATGTAGTTTTGTTTTGTTTTAAGTTTGACTTGGTTTAAAAATCAGTTCAAAGGCAAGGATTTATACTAACTAAAGATAAAGGAGAGAGATTATTTGTGAAGTTCAAAGTTTATATCACTCAAATCAAGTGTTACATTGGATGTCATACTCCAAACTTATTTGTGAGATTTGGAAGAAAAAAAATCAGATGGTGCACCAACTTTAACTAGGAATGGGAAATAATGTATATCTTGTAATGGTGTAGGTGAAATTAACATTACTGTGTATAAAAAGTAATAAATAATCTATTTGAAAGGAGTTTTGTTTATATGCATGCGTTCATATAAACATGTGAAAAAATTGAAAGTTATAATTAAATTGAATTTATGTTTAATATTTAATTCAGGTAATTAAGATACGTATAAAATTTGTGAGTTGGTTTAGTTTTATAAAAGGATGATAGTTGTATTTAAATTGAGGGGTGAAAATAATATTATTCTGAGTGGTGAAGAAAGTAAAATGAACTTGGGTTTTCAGTGTGGGCCGTGGAAAAATTAGATGCATAAAAAGGACAAGCATAGTATTTTGTGGGGTTCAAATAGAAGAAAAGTCTCCTCTCTCTTGTATAAAATGGTTTGGGTGTTGCTCCCTCCACCACCACCCTATACTTCCTCCACCTCCCCACATTATTTTAAATACAATTATATCCTTAAGTTAAAAAGATTTTTACTTTTATCCTATTTTAAATCATTTGAAACCCTAATTTTACCTTCTTAGCACCCACCCACGGAACTCTCTTCCCCTTTCCCCATTTCTGTTTCACCTCCCCACCTCTCGCACTTCCATTCCTTTTTCTTCCTAGATTTTTTTTGTTTGAAAGCTTCCATTGCCGCCGTGGTGTGAAGGAGCGTCGCCGCCATGGTGTGAAGGAGCGTCGTCGTCGTGGTGTGGAGGAACATCGAGAAGCGTCCAAAGCATCAACCAACGTCTCAACGGATGTCCCCTAATAAAACAAATCTTAAAATAAAAAACGTAACCTTTAAACGAAGGTGACATTTTCAATGGATGTCAACATCCGTTGTTCACATCCGTTAAGGATGTCAGCTCCATTTAAAGATTATGTTTTTTATTTTAGGGATTTATTTCAAGGTTTATTCGAATACGTACCTGGAGGAAGCACGACACGCACTACACCACTCCACTGCACCACTCCACTGCACCACAAGAGTGACATTGCATCACGAGAGCGACATTGCACCACGAGAGGGAGACTGCTTGATAATTCTTTCCATCACCACCAACCTTTGCAACTTGTAGTATCTCACAACGACGAAAGAAAGAGAGGAAGAAATATAATGTTAAAATGAAATAAAAGTATTTTACTCATGTACGGACGACTAGAATAGGTTATTAGTGAAATAAATTGTGAATGGATAAAATAAAAAAATAATAACCCTATGAGTAAAACAATAAAGGGGAGGTGGAGGGAGCAACACCCAAATGGTTTGGTTATTTGATTTTATCATCAATCAAATTATATCTTTATTATTAGCAGAATGTAATTAATGGATTAATTAAGGTATTTTGAATTACATTACATATGACGTGTCTTTACTGTTTCGGAATATTATAAAATGTATGTAATGAAGAATAAATGAAAATGAAAAAAGTGGTAAGATACAACGTAGGGATCTTTGCTGATATTTTGTTTTATATGGAAAGTTAAATATTAAATATTAGATGTCAGCATCATCCAGCACACATGCATGAATCTTAGCAGAAATTGTCAAATAGTGGTTGAAACGTAAAACCTAATTCATATTTTTCTTTTTTCTTAAACTTAATACAGTCATACAATACAATTTATATTTTATTTTTATTTTAAAATTTGTGATATGTCCTTACCTATCACAAAAATAATTACGACAAAAATTAAAAAAAAAAACATTTTTCTCTTAATTACTAAAACCATAAAAAAGAGAAGAAAAAAAATAGAATATCCTAATAAAAAAATATTGTATTTATTTTATAACATGAAAAAGTAAACATTAAAATAAATTTTATACTTTAGTATTTTCTTCATCGTTCCTTTCATTAATTTGAATCTTGAGAACATGAGATGAGTTTATATTCATCCATTGATATATTTATTCTAAATGGATGGTTCATTATTCAAGTAGAAGAATCTTATTATGGTTTGTTGACTTCACAAAAATGGATGAGCTTGGTTTTGGGTAGTATAAATCAAAAGGTATCATAATGATGAGAATGAAGTTTTATTATTTATAAAATTTATGAATTGTGTAATTTGTTAATGCTATGTAATTAATTTATAAGTATTTACGTGCATGATGATGATGTTTACTACGAAACAAAGTTGGTCATATCCAATGATGAGATCACTTTCCTTCTACCACGTTTTTATCATCTTCAATAATTAAATTTGAGTAAACTTTTAGATATATACGAGCTTTGCTGATAAAATAAAAATAATATAAATAAGAAGTATTCGGAGATAATATATTTATACGACAAACACGGTATACATCTAAACTGTTTTATTAATAAAAAATTCAATGAAAGGATATTTTTTAAGGTATGAAAGTCTTCTATTTTGAAACACGATGATATTTTTTTTTCCTAATTTAGAAATTTTAGACATGAAAAAAAGAAAAGAATCGGTTATTTCTTTGAGTTTTTATTAAAGAAAATAACATATCCACATCAAACAGTCTAAATCGAACATACTTAGTTTCTTCCAATTTCGTTTTCATTCATTTAGTTTAACCTTAATTACTGTCAGATCGAATAAACGTATTGACTGAAATCCAATTTTTGTATAACAGTACGTTGATTCAAATGATAATTAATCTACTTTTACAATAACAATCTCATTAATAATAATAATAATAATAATATAATAATAATAATAATAATAATAATAAATTTATAGTGGCTACAAGAAAATTAATATATATATATATATGATTTGTTTTTTTTTTATCATCTCCGTATAAATTATTACAAACTAATTATTGGGTATTAAAAATTAGAATTCAAAACCAAAATATTTAATCATTATCGATTATCTTTCCAACAATGATTTTTGGAAATGACTCAATCTATGATGTTTGGATTTATTTATTTATTTTTTACCAATTTGGTTATTTTAGTTGTAAAATTACAAAATTTTTAAAATAATTATAATTTAAAATAAGTATACTAACATAACACGACTATAATATAAAAAAAATTAGGTTAATGTGATAAAACTTTAGAATAAATAAGTTATATAAAGATAACATAATTTCGTTTGATTATAATAAAGTTATATCGTATTTACACGACTTATTTATTTTGAAATCATATCATGTTAATATAAATTTTAAATTGTACCAAATTTGGTAATTTAAGTGCTAAATTATCCTCTAATGATACGAAAAAAAATCAATACTAACACCATAATTCTTTTAAATAGAAAAAAAATTATTTGTCAAGACAGTTAATTTATTCTTACAAGTGTATATACAAAACCATATAGTATTTTTAACAAATAAATATTTTACAATAAATTAGTTACTGTTTACTTATTGTTCAGTGAATATTCATTCTATTTCGTATTTGTATTGATTTGTAGAAATTTGATTGTGAATTATGACAATGAAGTGAACCTTATGAAAAGACAGAATTCCTTTTTGAAAGTCATGTGAGTTATATATATAAGTAAAAGAATTTAGAAACTTTAGTTATTTAGGATTACATTTTCTCTGGGTAGGCCATAAGATCGTTACTTTTTCCTTGGGTGAAAAACTTTTCAAAACATTATTAAATCATTGATATGACAAAACATCATTTTTAAAGATTCACCTTAGCAAATCAAAAATGGATTCCAGGTGGATTTTTCTTTTGCTTTTAAAGTTTTCTTTTCCATCGTAACAGAGGGGGAAAAAATAAGTGAAAATTTTTAGGTATTTATTTTTTGGAATTTAGGTCAGTGTTTATTAATTTGATAATTCAAATGAAAAATGTTTTTTCTTTCATAAAAAAAATGTTACCAATTATCAACTCTTATTAAAGCCAACTGATTTAAATAATTTAACCGTTATTCTTGACATGGCTATCAAAGTCTTATAATTTTATAGTTCAATTATTGTTTTCTTTTTTCATGTGAAGTGCCACCTATTATTTTTGTTTTTCTCATTGAATAATGAAATAAACATTAACAAGGACAATAATAAATATAATAGGTATTTTACAGTTAAAAAATAAGGAAGGAGTTGACTAAAAAATAAAATAAAATAAGATTAAAAAGGATAGGTTCATGAACACACTACTACTATATACTACATTATATACTACATTATTATGAAAATTCATTTTATGAGACTTGGTTGTTTTGGTTACGGTGCTGAGTCAATAAACTCCTTCACAATTTTGTCTTCTCGTCGTCCGGTCTCGCTCCAAGCTTTGTTGTCTTGCTCTACCGTCTAGGAGAAACCTGTCAAAGATCCTCCGATGCCAAAGTCACTATACGAACCGTTCGACAATACAATAGAACAGTAATAAATGTGCACTAAATATAATCTATCTACCACTTATCTTTAACCTGTGTTTAAAGATTAAAGTTTTCGTCATGGGCTTGAATTAATGAAGAGTTAATCACAGTCCAATTTTAGTCCAATGGCTCTAATCGTTGTTTACCTTAATCATGGTCTTAATGATCTAGAGAGCCTACCGATCGGTCTTAGTATAACTGTCGGTTAGGTTGATTCAGTATTGCTTTCTCAGGATCGTCCGGTCCGTATGGTACAGTGGTATAATGATGAATAAGACATAGTAACATTCCATTTTGACCTTCATCACTCGCCTTTCAAAAATTCATTCTTGTGATATCAATCACCTTTGCTTTTCAATATGAACTTTAAAGCAAAATGGGCATCATAGAGACATTTAAGTTCATT